CCCAGGTGAATATATTCGTTATAACCGGTGTTCGTAATAACCGATCACACTAGAGGGCGCTTTACAGAAACAAACTAATTACCATAATGTACCTCTCTCTGTGATTTATTTTTCATTGAAATTATTTTGCTTGTTTTCAATTAATTTTAGCATACCTCTGCAATTTATTTTAGCATTGTCAGTTGTTTGCTTCATTGAATTAAACGGAGTTCGTCCGGTTGCAAACAAAGCTGTCTCGCACCACCTAGTAAAACTTGCGAATGATTGGAAAGTTTGTATCTCCCCGACCCAGTGCAATATATCCGGTTAGAATCAAAGCTCACGTGTCACTTATTTGAGGGACCAGATTCTGCCGTAAATTCGGGATGGGATTTAGAAAAATCTCTGCACTTTTAAGGTGCATTTTGGCATCATTTTCGAACATTTCAATCATTCCTGATGCCTAAAATAGAGTCTAAGTTTTACCGTAGTCATTGACGCCTATTCAAGAGTATTGTGAATGGGAAAGCTTCGTTTCGACAATGCACTGTTATCACTGTAAACAATGTTAAATTATCCTTCACAGGCTCAGTTTATTTTTTGAGAACAATTATTTAAAAATAAAATGTCTCAGTCAATCAGAAACTCGGATTCACGCCTTCAGGGAAAGTCACGTTTGAACGCTCACATCGATTTTCGTTCGACGGGCTGATGCCTTCAGTGTAGATTTTGCCTCTTCCAACATAGAAATCATCTGAATCTTCTTTCTACCTCTCTTTCTTTTCATACCACGCATAATGTAATGATAAAAATTAGGAAAAAAAACACTGAGGAAATGTAATGTTTGGTTTTCTAGCAAGCGATAACTGATTTGAGAATAATTGCACATGCGCGTGAATTGAATGAACTATGACCCGTACAATCTCGATTTGCATATTGTCAATCAAAGGTCCTGTTATTTGAGTACTCATGCAAATTAGGCAATTGGACATAAACATTGCCATGTGTGAGTGTTTTTTATTTTTAATCAGAAAATAACCAGCAATTTTAAGGGTGTTCCAATAAGAATTCATTGGTCAAATTTTCACAGAATGTTCTTTAGATAAAAATCCATATAAAAAACGAAAAAAAGTATTTTTGATTGAAATTCACAAATAAACTGCATCTCTACCTTAAGTCATGAATGATCCACAAGTTTGTCTTGATGAATCATTAAAGGTAGTACAAAAAAACATTTTTGAATATTCTGGTGGTTGAACATGGCTAATTTGCATAAAATAAAATGTTTACTGATTTGGTTTAATTACAAATGTACTTTTTGAATGACATATCAACATTTGATACAGATATTAATTTAAAGTGTACAATTTTTAGTCACTACAATGCATTATATCAGATATACTGGGTTCCATGCAACATATACAGTACATGTAAAAGAAATAATTGAAACATGTGCTGTGCAATGATCATAGATATTTAATAGACAGGTAGTGTCAACTAATACTGAAGTATTCTTTATTTTCACCTAAGTAAATTCCAGGAAAGACACTTTTTTCGAATGGTATATATGAGTTGAATTAAAAAGCAGTGAAAACCAAATTTACTGTTTTCTGTGACATATTCAGTAATCCAAAGTTATGTTTATTTACCAAACTGGTGCTAAAAGGGTGTCCACTGCTGACTGCTGTTCATTTTACATGTACCGGAAAATTTCAATTGGGCTTACAAAATTTGCTTCAATTTGTAAAGTCTGTGAGATTGCGAGTTATCAAAATATGATGAAATTAATAAATCAACAAGTCATTGTCAATGACACGTCCCCGTTCCGTTCATATTTGAGTGACATATACATTCAAAGCAGATCATGACCGAAATGCACCTGCATATGTACAACACATTGTGCTAAATCTGAACAAAATCCATCCATGCATGACTGAGATCCGGTTCTGGAATTGTGAAAATACGTGATTTTGATGCATTTTCGGCCTTAAAATGGCCATCATTTCGCTATTGTTAAGCAGATCATGAAACAAAGGCACATATCTATTTGTGACATG